TGATCGGGCTGGTCTTGAACTCCCAACCTCAGGTGATCCGCTCACCTTGGCCTCCAAAGTGCTTGGATTACAGGTATGAGCCACCACGCCCAGCCCAGGGTGCAACAGTCTGGTGGCCAGACAGAACTTTGGAGAAAAGGGACCTACCTTCAACTCTCAGAAGGACAAATACCTTTAGGCATAAGGTAAGATGGATAAAATATGTATTGTTAAAAGAAAAACAAAGTTGCAAAACAGTGAGCGTTAATGTCTCATGCAGTTAAAAAAAGAAAGAAAAGAAAATGCTGGGCACAGTGGTTCATGCCTGTAATCCCAGCACTTTGGGAGGCTGAGGCAGGAGGGTCAGTTGAAACCAGGAGTTTGACCCAGCCTGGACAATATAGTGAGATCCCGTCTCTACAAAAGATTTAAAGCAATGAGTTGGGCATGGTGGTGCACACTTGTAGTTCTAGCCATTTAGGAGGCTGAGGTGAGAACGTTACTTGAGCCCAGGAGTTCACAGTTGCAGTGAGCTATGCTCATGCCACTGCATTCCAGCCTGGGTCACAAAGCAAGACCCTGTCTCTGAAAATAGTAATGATATACAAATGTTAACGTTTGTATTGATAAAATATCAGGGCTGGTTGGGGATATGGAGTGCTACACTAAAGGATTAAAACACTGATATTCTCTGAGGTACAGAGAGGATTACTTGGAGCTTTCATACGTTTCTGAATATATGGTCTGAGCTTTCTATAGTGAAATTCTATAATTAATTTATGATTTGAATGTTCTAAAAGAAACATGCATTTAGTCCTATAAATCCTAAAACAAACATATTTTGTAAGCAGTGGTTTCAGTTTGTATCACAGATTCCCATTCAACACAGTCCATTTCAGCAGCACACACTGCATTTACTGGTGGGCCAGGCCCTGGGCTGTGTGGAGAGGCAGCTGCTATTTTGGAGAAAAGCAAGGATGTGGAGACAGGGAGGTAACCCTCTGTGTGGCCCCACCTACCTGCTCTGAGCCTCTCTTTCCTCTCAAACATGGATGTGACAGCAATTGTGAGATGCCAATGAAGGAACAGATGGGGAGGTTCTGGGCATGTGGGCATTGCTGGGCATCGTCTCACATGAGCCCGGAACAGCTCCATAAGATGACTACCTCCATTTTACAGAGGTGGAAACTGAGGCTCGGGGAGGTGGACTGGAAAGTCCAGATCACACTGAGATCAGGTGTCAGTGTCAGGACGCAAATGCTGGGTGTGTGAGTCTCAGGTCAGACACCTCCAACTTAGCCCTGTCTGTCCTGCCATTTGTTTAGCCCCTCCTGTTTCCAGATGGGGCTTTGCTGTCTAGCACACCTGACAATTACCTTTCGGGATCATGTATGTGTCTATCCTACCACACAGCTGTCTCTCTGAGGGCAGGGACTTTATTTTTTCATAGCTATATCCCCAACAACTAGAACTGTGCCTGGCCCATGGTAGGTGCTACATAGCTATTTGTTGATTGAATGAATTAATGGATGGGAATATGAAAGAAGTCCGTAGTAAAGAACCAAAGGACGTGGACCTGGGGCCCACCGAGACAGTGCCACCCTTCCAGGTCACATGGCTGGCAAGGGCAGAGCAGGACCCGTGCCAGGTCCTGAACTCCCACTCAGTCCTGCTTCTCCCAAACCCAGAAGGCTCAGTTCATCAACACTTCTGTCCACAGCCACCAGAGACCATGGGAACAAATCTGTCTGGTGCAGGAAGGGATCAGGATGAAAGAGAAGATGCCTGCATTCTGGTCCTGGCTGGACCTCTCCCTGCTAGTCCTGCTTATGCCTCAGTTTCTCAATCTGGAACATGGGCACCTGCCTCTCTGCTGACATGTGTGGAGGAGGATTTGGGAGGAATGCGCAGAGGTGGTCCTTCCTGCCATCCTTCCTCCCTCAGGAGGGGCCAGGCCGGCCTGAGGCACTGGGGCCAGGGCATGGGCGGTGTTGTGAGAAGACGCCTCTGCCACAGAGCCACAGGGTCAGGGATGGGAGGCACCTTGCCTTTCTGATGCCATCACTGTAGAATGGACAAGAAAGCAGAGGCCTAGGGAAGGGAAGGGCCGCAGCCCGGGACATGCAGGAGTTAATGGCGGGCGCAGGCAGCACAAGAACCTGGGTCCTGCCTCCCAGATCAGGGCTCTCCCCTCCCTGAGCACAGAGAGACCAGGGACAGAATCCACCTGTTCCATCACTGTCCTGCCCAAGAAAGCCCAGGTCTACAGGCTGATATGGACGACAGGCCAGGCAGGGCCCCGGCTCTGCCCCAGCCCTGGCCTCCCAACGCAGGCTCTGAACATCAGGACGCAGGCTTGACTTCCTAAAGCAGGGCTCTGCACAGAGGCCTGAGCCACGGAGGGGGTCTGTGACAGCCCCACCCTCTGGGTCCCACAGGCTGCCATCAACAGTTGGGGCCTAGGGTACCAGGCCTGGCTTTTCGGGAGCCAGATGAGGCTGATAGGAGAGGTGGAGCAGGAGGGAGCAGGTGTGGGAGCCTGGGTGTGGGCAGTGACACCCCAGTGACCCTGTTATTAGATCCCGTGGTGGCCTCTGGGGCCACTGACCTTCAGGGGCCTCCAAACACGGAGAGCATCCTGGTATGTGGCTACCCCACCCTGCCACAGCCTCAGTAGTTGCCAGTTAAAGCTACTCTGAGAGAATTCCACTAGTGCAATTAGCACATCAGAATAAAGAAGGCCCTTCTGACAGCTGGCTGTGCCCACCCACAGCCTGGGCTTCCACTAACAACGACCTGCCTGTTAATCCCGCAGTGCTGGAGGCCCCGGGTCTTAATGAAACATGCAGAGCTGATGTGGGAAGAAGCTGGGCTTTGGAATCCACAGCTGTGGATTCACCCCAGATGTGCTGTGTGGCCCTGGGCTGGCCATTTAACCTCCCTGAGCCCATGGGCTGGCAAAACAGTCTCACATGAATGAAATGAGGAATTGTAAGGCTCTGAAAGTTCACGTGCTACTTTTCATTCCAAAAACAGGTACAAACACCTTTTGTTTGGCTTTTAGAATCTGTTTCTAGGTTTCACATGTGTACAAGACATATGGAGATGCTCCTGTCACCTCCGTACCAGGCCATAGCTGGGAGGGTCTGGGGCCAACAGAGGCCAGCTCCAGTTTCACCATCGGAGGGGAAAGGAACAGGCGTTCTGCTCCTCCCCTCTATCAACCAATCATACAACAACCTTGAGGACAGATCACCAGGCACCTCATTTTCCAAGGAGCAACCAAGGCTCAGAGAGGGTGAGGAACTTCCCTAAGGTCACACAGCAGGGGTAGCCACTGCCCAATTCATATCCACAGCCCCCACCAGGCTGTGCATGCCTTGACTCAGGGGATGCCAGGGGAGGTAGGATGTGAGCTGGGTGGTGACTCATTCTGATGGGTGGCTCCCGAGGGGACATTCTTGGGCGACTCCATCCATAAGTCTTCTTGGTCCTGCGCCCGGGGCCAGCCTGTCCTGATGACAGAGCCCCAACCCCAGTTTCACAGATGGTCTCCTCTGTCCCACATCCCCACCCTGTCCTCTAACTAGGAAGGTGGCATCCAGATCCCACAGGCCAGAGTCCTGTGCCTGGCACTGGCGCTCAGTGATCGTGAATGGCTGCCTCCTGCTGCTTGCCCCCCACCTCAGCCCACCACCAGCTCTGGGTGGCGGGGAACAGAGGTTCGGCCATGCCTTCTTCTGCCCTAGTGTAGGAAGCAAATGGCTGAGGGCCCCCACAAAACCTGCTGCTGCTCAGTGCCCTGGGTTCTTCGGCCCAGACTCCTCAGAAAGCTCTCTGCACCCTGAAAACCTGGACTGACAACAGAAATGTCATCTCCTTGAGCACTGGATGGACAGTCAGGCTTCCTGGGTCCGTCCTGGCTCAGCCGCATAGAGGCTGTGCTATCCTAGGCATGGCGCTGCCTCTCTGAGCCTCACTGTCCTTATCTGGGAGATGGGGATGCAGACCGTGGCTGTTACCAGGGTTGCTGTGAGGATGGAGAATGAAAGATGCTGTCGGTGGAGGGAGGCTGGAGACCCGGGCAGGGACCCTCTTCCTGCTCTCAGCCCCACAGCTCCCTCACCTCAGGCTGAACTGTTGTCCTTGGCTCTCCAGACCCCGGCTTGTCACTTGCCACAGAGAGGAGGCAAAGCAGATGGGGGACCTGACCAACAGTCACTATACGACCACAGACCAAAGAGTTTAGCACTGCAAAAAAAATCTCTGGGCTCCTAAGGAGTAAATAGCTCCAGGGTTTGATAAAAGATGTTGGCAGACAGGAAAAGCCGGGCTTTGCCTGGGAGAACAAAGTGGGTCCAGCTGCCCACTGGGCCATTCCACAGGCCCAGACACTCACCCTACGCCAGGCCATATCCCAGGGGCTGGGCCCAGGGTGACAAGGCCACAGTCCCTGCCCCACCGACCTGGGTCTGCTCCTTCCCCAGCCGCTCCCCTGACAGCTGCACCCCACCCAGGCTCCAAACAGGGAAGAGCCTGCTGTGGACTCAGGGCACCGGGTCAGCTCTGGTCACTCTGATGATGTGACCACAGGTTTCCACGCTGAACTTTGGCCCTCTCCTCAGTACTGCCCTTATCACAGTGACAGCATCCTGGCCTTGTTTACTCACCTGTCTCCCCAGGACCAGGCTGTCTTCCTGGGGCTGCCCAGGTGGGCAAGACCATCACCTGATTCTTACTGCCTTCACCTGGGTGCGTTTGGGGCAGGTGAAGGCAGGGTGAAGGGCTCCCCTGGGAGTCCACAGTTCCCCCCACTCTGCTCCTGACCACCCCGCAGCCCAGGGTACCCCAGGACCCTTAGACCTTCCCTGGCCAAGGCGGTCGCCCTCCCCTAGGGGTCGCGTCTACCGCCTGTGACTCCCGGTTGGGCCAGGGCCCAGCACCGCCTGCGGAGGCACGCACTCTCTCCTGCAGCCAGCTCACTCTGAGGGTCCCCGCGGAGCGCGTGCGGCCGCACTCACCCATGTTGACGAAGCTCATGACCAGGTCGGCACGGCCCAGGCGCCGCTCCGGGGGCGCGCCATCCTCGTCGTCGTCGCTGGCCATGGCGTGGTACAGGTCCAGCATGAAGAGCGGCGCGGACGCGGGCAGCCGGGAGGAGGCGGGTGGCGCGCGGGGCCGGGGCCGCCCGGGCAGCCCGAGCACAGCCAGGATCTCGCGCTGAACGTCCCGGCGCTCGCGGGCGCCCAGACGCCACTGGGAACAGCCGTGCGGGGGTCGCGGGCCGGGGCCGCCCCCGCCCAGCGCGCACAGCGCCAGGCCCAGGAGCCAGAGCGGGCCGGGGCGCGCGGCCATGGTGGGCCGGGGGTGCTCAGCCGGTGCGCATCGGCTCCGCGGCCGCCCCTGGGCCCGGAGACGCCCCGACGGCGAGCGGGGTGCTGGGCTCAGCGAGCAGCGGGACAGGGCAGGCGGCGTCCGCGGCCTCAGCGCGGTCCCCGGAGCGCCTCCCGCGCGGCACCTGCCCAGGCTCCCAGACTAGCGGACGCGGACGCCAGCGCCTCGAGGTCGGGGCTACTCAGCGGGCTGGGACTGTCCGCCAATACGTCTGTCGCCGCCGTGCCCGCGTGTCCGGCTGTGGCCGCGGTCCGCGCAGCGCAGGGGCGACGGGCGAGCTCCGGCAGCGACCCGGGTGGTGAGATTCCCGCGAGTCCCTGCCCCTGCCCCTGCCGTCGGTGCCGCCCGCCCCCCCCCGTCCGACCAATGGTGGCGCGGGGGCGGGGCCAGGGCGCGGAGGCCACGCCCACGAGGGGGACCATTGGCGGCGGCCGGTGTCGCGGGTGGGGCGAACTGGAGGTGCGACCTGGGCGTGGCAGGTGGGCGGCCCGGGCGAGGGGCCCGCAGCAGGGACGTCAGCGTGATCAGCGCCGTCGTGGCTCTTGCCGCGGGCCTCGGCGCAGAGATCCTAGGGCTGCAGCGCGGTCCCGGGAAAGCAGGACCCGAGTCCGGGTCCAGCCAGTGGTGCCACCCGGCCGCCCCGTCATGGTATGTGGAGGTCGCTGTGGACTCCAGGAGCTGCCTTCACCTTGCCCCAAACGCGCCCAGGAGTAAAAATCAGATGATGTCCTTGCCCACCTGAGCTGCCCCAGGAAGACAGCCTGGTCCTGGGGAGACAGATGAGTAAACAGAGGCTGGGATGCTGCCACAGACCTGGAGGGCCGGGCGGTGCCAGCCAAGCCCCGAGGGTGGGGCACGTTCTTGTGCCTGCAGCAGCCGGCCCGGGTTCCGGCCACTGAGGCCCCTCGCCGCCTCTTGGTGCTTTCCCCGCGGCCCCTGCGTGCGCTGCTGCGGGCGCCTTCTTCCCGCACCCCCCACCTGGCTCTCGCGTGCGCCCGGGCAGCCCCCCAGGCGGGCCGCCCCCGCCAGCCCTCGCTGCACGCCCTGTGCCCCCGGTACTGATCCAGCTTCGCGGAGTAGACTTGGCCTCCTGCCTCCAGCCGGGCCAGGAGCTCTGGGGCCCTTCCCGAGCACCCGGGAGCCACCCATGCACATCTTCTCGCTGCCACGGCCCCCGTGCAGGCCTGGCAGGAGAAGGATCCCCGAGGAAACGCCTGGACTGACTCAGCCCCTTTCTGTACACACTGCTCTTCCCTGGGCGCGCTCTCACTTTATTTATTCATGTGTGGTTCAGGCGCTGCAGAAGGGGAAGGCACCTAGTCTGCCCTGGGAAGGCTGCTGGAGTTGACCTGGAGCTCCAGGAAAGGTCAGTGGAGCAAAGTGCTCCAGGCAGAGGGAAGAGCTTGTGCCAAGGCTCTGAGACCCCCGGGCCGGGGAGCCTAATAATGGCAGGTAACAGTCAGCACTTGCCACGCACAAGGGATGTTCTGAGTGCGTGTCCCGTGTCATTTCTGTAATGCTCACATATTGTTAGGGGGTACATACCATTGGAACCTCCTCTTTTAACAAATGAGGAAACTGAGACACACAGCGGTTAAGGGACTTATGCCAGGTAGCACAGCAGTGGAGCTGGGCTGAGGCAGGTGGGCAGCTGCTCAGTGGAGCCTGGAGAGCCCAGGGGGCAAATGGCTGAGGCTGGAGGGGCTGGCAAGGGAGGGACTGCAAAGGGCCTCACAGGGGCTAGACGAGGTCCCTAAGCACCAGAGATTATGGTGCCCCCCATGTGGATTGAAGATTAAACCTCCAAGCAAGTGTATAATGCCCCCAAAATCACATTTTGAAGTCATCGCTTCAATAAAATTTTCTCTATTAATAAATTATTAATGTAAATAGTCATTTGCTGATGTCTTAAGCACATGCCTACTCTGTCTTTTACCAAAGAGGTAAATTTCTGCAAGGCCAGGTAAATAATGAAATGAAATAAAAATTATTATTATACTATTCAGAGCACTAAAAGAACCACTTTTTCCTGATTACAAAGGTAACTTGCTTATTGTAGAAACTTTTGAAAACGTAGAAAGATAAAAATTCACCCCAAAAAAACTTTAAAAATCACCCAAATCCCTGTTTCCAGAGATAACCACTGGTAAGATTTGATGCATCTTTTTCTTACATTTATGTGTATATTTTTAATACAAAAAATAGTATCTTACTTGCTTTATTCACTTCATGTTATATTGCAGTATTTTACTATGCCATTAATTATTTCACACTTCTTTTTGACTGGCTTCTTGGTATTTCTTCATCATAATTTATTTAATCAAGCTTATGTTATAAGATAATATATTTATATTTTTACATTATATACAATGCTGTTATGAACAATCTTATAGAATAATCTGTGTGCATTCATGATGATTTCTTTAGGATGAATTTCTAGAGATGGATTTTTTTTTTTTTTTTTTTAGATGGAGTCTCGCTCTGTCACCCAGGCTGGAGTGCAATGGTGTGATCTGGGCTCACTTCAGCCTCTGCCTCCCGGGTTCAAGTGGTCTTTGTGCCTCAGCCCCCTGAGTAGCTGGGATGACAGGTGTGCACCACCACGCCTCATTTTTGCATTTTTAGTACAGACAGGGTTTTGCCATGTTGGACATGCTGGTCTTGAACTCCTGGGCTCAGGTGATCTGAGTGTCCCAAAGTGCTGAGATTACAGGCATGTAGGGATGAAATATTTGAATCAAAGAGCATATACACTTTTTATGGTTTGTGATACATATTATCTGTTGCTCCAATACCATGAGGCTGCTTATTTTCTTTCACCCTTACTAACACAAGCTCTAACTTGTTAAATACATAAATAAATAAATCTCTGCTGATTTGATAGATTAAAACATTTCTCTGCTGTTGTAACTTGTATGTAGGGGGTCACTACACACCGCTCTCTTGTTTTTGCAACACTCTCCTCCCCTGGCTTCAAGGTTGCCTGCTCCCTTGCTGACCACTCCTTCCTGCCCACTTGTAAAGCATGGATGTTCCCCTGGGTCTGTCCACAGTCCTGTTATCCCTCTTAGACTCGACCTGGTGATGAGCTCACCCACTGAGGCTTCAGTGCCGCCATACAGTCACACCCAACTCCAAATATACTAGCAGAGCAGGCCTTCCTGCTGGATGCCAGAAGCTATATCCAACGACTGATGAGACACGACCAGAGCCCAGAAACCAAAACCCTGGCACCGACGTAGGTCCCTTCCTCCCAAAGGCAGTTCAGTCTATTGATTCTACCTTGGAATGCTTCTTGAATCCCTGAGCCTGTGCACGCCCCCTTACACTCAGGTGTTTCATGGAGCACCTCCTCCCCACTGGTCTCCTTGTTTCTCATCTCACCACCCGCCCAGCCCTCATTCATTCTGCAGAATGCATTTCCAAATGAAAATCTGAGTCCTTTCATGGCCTTTCATTGCTTATAGCAGAATTTCCCCAGGTGAGGCTTCTGAGGGCTTTCCTACAACAGGGATTCAGTATACACTGAATTATTATGTATAATAATAACATTATACTCTGTTACTTCCCTGTTGGGAGATCCCTCATGCACTTGGCATTTTGTAAGCTCTGAGAAGTCCTCCAGTTAAGAAAAAAAAATCTGTTTAGCCTTAACTTGGCTTCTTCCAAATGCATGTGACTATGACTTTTTAGTTTTTGAGGAACACATCTTGAGGACCAGCAAGGCACAATGTGATAAGTGCCCAGGACCCAGTGGTCTGGTCCCTGCTGCCGACTCATCTCCACAGTCTTGTCTGGCCACTAACCTCATATTCTTTGCTGCAGTCTGATGGGAATACTTCTGGTCCCCCACCTGTCCTGCTGTTGACACTTCTGTTCACCTGAACATGTGGTTTCCTCTACCAGGAAGGGAAATCCCTTTGCCTATCTGCTCAGGTGTTACCTCCCTTTAAGATGCAGCTGAAGCAACACCTCCTTTTCCTGATGCCCTCTCCACCTTCATGGGCAGAGTCATTTCTTCCTTCCCTCACTCTCTCAACCATTCCTTTTACCAATAGAAGGACCATCATCTTAATTTGCCTTTGGATCCCGTGCCAGGCTTGCATTTAGGGTTTCAGTAAGTATCTGTGAAACACAGTAGCCTCTCTTTCTCTGAAATAGCCTCTGAAAAGTATAGCCTCTTAACAGTTTCAAGGAATGGATCTCACAGCCTTCACAAATTCACTAAGAAGTGCTCATAATTTCGCGGGGATGAAGAACACAAGCACCAAGCTGTGTTGAAGGAGAGGTCAGTGGCCGGCAAGTGACGAGCTCTCTTGCATACCAGCCTCAAATGCAAATCCATGAGAAGAATCGCTTGAAACTGAAGGTGGAGGTTGCAGTGAACCGAGATCACGCCACTGCACTCCAGCCTGGGTGCCAGAGTGAGATTCTCTCAAAAAAAGAAGGAAAGAAGGAGAGAGAGAGAGAGAGAGAGAGAGAGAGAGAGACAGAAGGAAGGAAGGAAGGAAGGTAGGAAAGAAAGAAAAGAAAAGAGAAACATGATACAGGAATGGAGATTATCTCATGTTAACAGACAGCGACACATTTAACCTTTGCATTTGTGATCTCAGGCCCTGTTTAATTCTATCACAGGATCCTACAGTGAGGCCCTAAGTCATGACTGTGTCAGCCCCAGAGGCCACCATGAGGTTAGTGCATTTGTAAAGCCTCATTCAACAACTGCTGAGGGCCCAAAGGGTGTCTCATTTGCTTTCCTTGCTGGGTACACATAGGATGCTGGGAAAATCCAGTTCATCGTGTTCCAGGGTGTGCTTACACATCATAAAGAAACAAATAAATGTAACGAGACAGTCCTGTCTTCACGGGGGAGTCTTCAGTCAATGGGTCAAGTCACCTTCTGTTAGTGGACTATGCTCCAATTAAAAGTCAGAAATGGGCTGGGCATGGTGGCTTATGCC